ACTTCTTTTTTAAAAGATCTTTCTGAGGGTTGAGATTATAGCTCGGCAAGAGAGTGCTTGTTTAGCTTGAAGCCCTGGGTTCAATCCTGGGTTAGTTTTAAATGCCAACTTCTCATAACTAAGTATTCTCTGGGAAGACAGTCTCATTTGAGTAACTGTTTTTTTTTTTTTTTTTTGTCTTTTTGAGACAGGGTCTCCCTGCAGCCCCAGCTGTACTGAAATTCACTATGTAGACCAGGCTGGCCTCTATCTGACAGAGATCTGACTGCCTCTACCTCCCTAGTACTGGGACTAAAGGTGTGCACACATAACTGTCTTTTTTTAAAAAAAAAAAATTTTTTTTTTTTGAGACAAGGTCTCCCTGTAGTCCCAGCTGGCCTGGAACTCACTATGTAGACCAGGCTGGCCTTGAACTCACAGACATCCACCTGCCTCTGCCTCCTGAGAGCTGAGACTAAAGGTGTGCACCACCACACCCAGCTTAAAATTTTTTTTATTTATTATTTTTATTTTATGTGTATAAGTGTATTGTCTGCATGTATTAAGTGCACCTAGGCCATGCAATACCCACAGACATCAGAAGAGGGTGTCATGATTTATTAGCCACCATGTGGGTGCTGGGAACTGAACCTGGGTCCTCTGCAAGAGCAGCCAGTGCTCTTAACTGCTGAGCCATCTCCCCAGCCCCGTTGAGTAACAGTCTATCCATGGTCTATGGGCGTGTCTGTGGGGAATTGTCTAGAGTGCTCCTTGAGGTAGGAAGACTGCTAGGCGACACTGTTCCCCAGGCAAAGGATCCTGAACTAGGTGAGACAGGAGAAAGCTCAGGAAAGCAAAGCAAGCTAGGATGCTTTATGCTTCCTTTGTTCTGGACTGCAGATGTGATGTCACTGACTGGTTGAGTCCCTCCCATGACTCCTCTGAAGTGATGGACTGACTTGGAATTGTAAGCCAAATAAACCCTTTTCTTTCCTCAGCTGCATTTTTGTTGGGATGTTTTATCACAGCAGCAGAAATGAAGCTAGAACAAATCCCCAGGACCACAAAAACAAAGTAAAACAAAATATGACAATGATTTTTCATTGTAAGAAAATTCATTCTATGCTGGGCGTGTGGTGCACACCTTTAATCTCAGCACTCCGGAGGCAGAAGCAGGTGAATCTCTGTGTGTTGGAGGTCAGTCTGGTCTACATAGTTCAGGCAGGCTGGGGCTATGGGAGACGCTGTCCAAAAAAGAAAAGAAAAGAAAATTTGGAAAAGTTGAAAAACTTAGAACTTTTAGACGAGAGTAGAACTGGGATGTAGCTTAATGAAAAAATGCTTGCTTAGAATGCACAAGGCCCTGGGTTCAAAACCATAGAAAAATTCTATACAGCCGTCATTAACATGTTGGCATATGCTTTTCATCCTTGACCTTCTTAATTAAACAAATCTAATAATAGATTTACCTGAGAATAAATCAAATAACATATTTAGTTAAACCATACAAAATTTATGTTTTAAAACGTCTCAGTCATTGGTGACTGATAACTAACTAAAACTAATAATTATTGTGGCTTTCTCACAAGTCATATGCTATGTAACGATTTCCTCATCCATGTGCTTGTAAGTAACCTATATTCCTGCAAGTAGGCCTTCGCCCATGCTTCTGTAAGTAACCTCTCTTATGCTCCTGTGAAATAACCCTTCACCATGCTTTCGTAAGGAACCCAGTAAACTCACTGGTTCACCAAGCTGGCCTTGAGTACCATTGTTTCTTTGGTCTGTCTTTGGTGCCCTATCTGTGGTGACAGATGCCTCTTCACACCTTCCCGGGAAATGGCATAACATCAGAATTGTTCTTGTTCCCCTGAGCACTGCCTAGGGTGACCTAGCTGTGCTTCTGCTCTTCCAGAATCTCGTTCGTCTTTGAGGTTTGGGTGCCTGTAGACCAGCAGTCTGGTGGTCTAGCAGCAGTCTGGTGGTCTAGCTGAATCTGGCTGCCAGAGTGACTGGCAGACAACCCTGGGCTGCTTTACAATTCCATCTGCACTGCTGAATGATACATTCTCAGCACCATGACTATTGGTGATTGCCCGGGCAGCAACAGGAGCACAGAGGGAGTGAAGAGAGGAGCTGCCTGGTTCTGTCAAAATCGCTGCCTGTTCCCAGAAGACATCAATATTGTTCTCCAGTGTTACTTTATCCTCACCTCATTTCTGTTCTCTATAGGCTCCCAAACCAGAGGGAGAGCAGGAAAAGTCAGTATTTGAGTTTCTCTTCTGTAGGATCTAGCCCCCTTCACTCCCCACTTGGTGCCCCATCTTGCTATCGGCTCCATAGATAACATATTGGCAAAAGGGACCCAGTTTGGGTGCCAAACCTGGTAACATTCCAAAGACTTTCTGCACAATTTTTTGTTTCACATCTGGATATCTTCCTACTTTATGCTACTATTTTAAGTTCTTTTAAAGACAATCTTTTAGAGCAATGCTAACCTCACAGCAAACTTGACAAGGCACAAAGACATCCCAGTTACACCAGTGCCAGCCAGTGCTGATATATTTAACCTCCTTTGTGGTCAATATCTCCTATTGGAGAGATACCTACATTGCACAGGATAAACCTCCCTTGATATATCATTATCTCTCCATCCCATAGTTTCCCAAATAGGAGTGTGTGTGGCGTATGTACACATGAGTGCGGGTGTCCACAGAGGCCAGAAGAAGGCAACAGATTCCTTGGAACTGGAGTTACATATGCTTGTGAGCTTCCCAACATGGGGGCTGGGAACCAAACTCAGGTCCTCTGCAAGAGCAATGCATACACTTTAAAAAAAATTACTTATTTCGCCGGGTGTGGTGGCTCATGCTTTTAATCCCAGCACTCAGGAGGCAGAGGCAGGAGGATCTCTGTGAGTTCAAGGCCAACCTGATCTACATAGTGAGTTCCAGGCCAGCTGGGGATTCAGGGAGACCCTGTCTCAAAAAAGAACCCCCCCCCCAAAAAAAGTAACTAAATTTAAGCCGGGTGTGGTAGTGCACACCTGTAGTCCCAGCACTTGGGAGGCAGAGGCAGGTGGATCTTTGTGTCTTTGTGAGTTCAAGGCCAGCCTGGTCTACATGGGGAGTTCCAGGATAGCTGGGGCTACAGGGAGACCCTGCTTCAAAAAGACCAAAAAAAATTTATTTTGTATGTATGTGTATGTTGCTTGCATGTGTAAGTGCACCTGTGTCATGCAGTCCCGGTGGAAGACAGAAGAAGGTGTCGGATCTCCTGGAACTGTAGTTACAGACAGTTGTTAGCTGCCGTGTGGGTGCTGGGAATCGAACCTGGGTCTTCTGCAAAAACAGTCTGTGCTTTTAATCACTGAGCCATCTCTCCAGCCCCTGAGCAATGCATACTTTTAACTGCTGACCCATCTCTCCAGCCCTCTGGTCTTCTAATTAGTTTGTGATTTTGCCTGTTCTAGAATGTCATGCAGTTGCAATCAGAGTGTGCTTCATTTTCATGTTCACTTCTGTCTCATAATAATATACATTTGCCGGGTGTGGTGGTGCACACCTTTAATCCCAGCATTTGGGAGGCAGAGACAGGCAGATCTCTGTGAGTTCAAGGCCAGCCTGGTCCTCATAGTGAATTCCAGGACAGCTGGGGGCACAGGGAGACCATGTCTCAAAAAGACAATAATAATAATAATAATAATAATAATAATAGTAGTAGTAGTAGTAGTAGTAGTAGTAGTAGTAGTAGTAGTAGTATACATTTAAGAGTCTCTTGTCTGGTGTCTTTTTTAAAAAGATTTATTTATTTCTATTTTATATGTATAAGTGTTCTGCTTGCATGTATGTAAGTGCTCCATGTGTGTGCCTGGTGCTCACAGAGGCCAAAAGATAGTATTGGATCTCCTGGAACTGGAGTTAAGGATAGGTGTTAGTGACCATGCGGGTGCTGGGAAGTGAATCTGGGTTCTGGAAGAGCAGTACGTGCTCTTAACCCCCAAGTCATCTCTCCAGACCCTTTTGTGTCTTTTCAGTGACTCATTTCTTTTTAGTGGTGAAAATTTTTCATTGTCTAGATAATACTGCTGTTTCTTTACTCATTCACCTGTAAAGATATATTGGTTGCTTCTAAGTTTTAGCAATTACAAACAGTTCTATAAATATCAATGTGCAAGCCTTTAGTGGACATAAATCTTCAACTCCTGTGGATGAATACCGAGAAGCATGGTAGCTAGACTACAGTAAAAGCAGGCGTGCGTGTGTGCATGTGTGCATGTGTGCGTGCGTGTGTGTGTGTGTGTGTATGTGTTCATGTGAGGATGTGTGTGTGTGTGTGTGTTGTGTGGAGGCTAGGGATTGATATCACTTATCTTACCATATCTCTATTTTTTTGAGAAAAGATCTCTCACTGACCCTGGAGCGAGGCTGACTGGCCAGCAAACTGCAGGGATCTGCAACACATTTATTGTTGCTACTTTAAAAACCATTTGAAAGTAACAAATTAAGTTATACACAGCATGATATTTCATCTCTAAATAATGTCGTGTGCCTCATGATAATAAGGTTTTCTACAAAATCAAAATTCTATTATTGAAAAAAAATCCTATCCAGACATAGTGTTGCGTGTCTATAATTCCAGGATGCTAAGACAGGAGGATTACAAGTCGAGGCCAGCCTAATCTACTAAGTGAGTTCAAAGACAACCTGGGCTCTATTGCAAGACCCTATCTAAAAAAATAATCTAGAGCCTCCATTCTCTCATCTGTAAAAAGGGCATTAAGAGGTCTTTGTCTACTCCATTGCTGTTGTGATTCAGGAGGATTAAATGAAAACATCCAGTCAAGGGACCGGGATGGTGCTTCACATATAATAAGCATCAAACAATCTGTACATAACCTCACCTGAGCAGGAACTCAGGCAGTACTCCTTGGGGATGTTACGTCCATAGGTCAATGACTGTGAAGTATTGGGAGCAGGTAATGACTGATTCCGATTTCAGTACATTTCCCTTTCTTACAGCACAGGTGTGTGTTGCAATCATTGTGATACTGATCATACACAACTACTGGTTCCTTTATGTCCCATATTTGACCTGGCTTTATTTTGACTGGCGTACCCCAGAGCAAGGAGGCAGGAGATCCAACTGGGTCCGAAACTGGACTGTTTGGAGGTACTTTAACGACTATTTTCCAATTCATGTGAGTAGAATTGTCTTCTTAAGTATTATTTTGAGTTGGGAGATGAGTGGAAGTATGTTTTCATTACATGTATCTCAAGCCTTTTCCTTGTCAAGGGAGTGTGTCTTAGTCCATTTGTGCTCCTAGAATGGAGTACCAGAACATCAGAACTTTATATGAAAAACAAAACAAAACAGTGTATTTCTCACTGTCCTGGAGTCTGGGGGCGTCCAGTAGCAAGGTTTCGGTATCTGATGAGTGTCTTCTTGCTGCTTCACCTGCGGCAGATGCAGAAGGGAAAGAGAGGGCAAGAAAGTGTCAGAGGGGCAAACTTGTCTTTTAGAAGGATGAACACCCACAGTAATGGTGTTATTTGGTTCACTCTGCCCTGGTGATCTGATCCCCTCTCACAAGACCCCACCTCTCAACACTACTGCGTTAGGGAATTAAGTTTCCAACACTTGTTTTGTGGGGGACTGGTGGACATAAGCAAATCAGAGCAGACAAAGCTTGCACTTTGGCCAAAGTTACTAAATGAACTTTAAGCCAAGTTGATAAAAGTCTAGAAGGCTGTGTGTGGAGGGATCTGGGCTCAGCAGATAGTTCAGAATTTGAAAAAACACTCCAACCCAGGGAACTAAAATGAGTCATGTTCTCCACTCCCTGCTGACATTAAGAGTAATCATGAGCCCAGCTGTTTCTCACTGGAAACTAATACGGGGACATTTCATTTCCTTATCTCAACACAATGTGCTATAGCTCGTCAAAACCCAGGACTTGGATCCAGGTCACAACTATATATTTGGGTTTCACCCCCATGGAGTACTTGTGGCTGGAGCCTTTGGAAATTTTTGTACAAATTACTCGGACTTCAAAGAGCTGTTTCCCGGCTTCACTGCATACCTCCACGTGCTCCCATTCTGGTTCCGGTGCCCACTCTTCCGAGAGTATCTGATGAGCAGTGGTAAGTAATGGAAGGTCGCTGTTTCTCCAGCATACTAGGATGGCCGCAGACACAGAGCACTTGCTTGGTTTTACATTCTGTGGATCTTCCTCACACCCACTCCTGAACTCTGTGTGCCAGGAGCTTGAGAATGTGCCATTTTTATTTCCGTTCCATCCCAAGTATTTAACACTGCGACTCCAACAAAGGAATGTTCAATAGATATTAATCCAGTGGAAGAATAAAGTAATGAATGCATCTTGTATAGCTAGATGTAGGAAAACAGTCATGACCCAAACAAGTGATAATCACATCTTTGGAGAGGTACTTTGCATACTTTTATGAATAATAGAAATGGAAAAGCCCTCCATAGTATCTTGAAGTAATCACATTGACACGAACCATTCAGTGTGCTGTCTTTGTCCTCCTAGATTATATACAGCTTTGGTTAGAAATAAGACTCCTGGGACTCTGGATATAGGTCTGGTACAGTGCTTGTCTGGTATGAACAAGGCCCGCTTCCACCACCCCATCCCACCCCCAGCACTGAAAGGGAAAGGAAGGGAAAGGAGATCAGAAGAAAAGGAGAGAGAAATAAGAGTCCATCTGCTCTACTCTGGTTTTGTTGTTTTTTTTTTTTGGGGGCGGGGGTGAGACAGAGATTCACTGTGCAGCCCAGGCTGGCCTTCAGGCCTTGAGTTCCTTACTCCTGGCTCCACCTCCTAAGTTTTGGAGCTGTAGCTGTGCCACTGTGCCTGGCCTTGTCTGCTACTCGGAACCATTGGAAAGCTCTTTGATTAGTGAAGCCATAAATTTTACTAATTCTGAGAATAAAATTAATCTGAAACATTTTAGAGATGCTGTATAAATGTATACAGAAGCCTAAGCCTGTGCTGATATCTCATTTCATCTTAAGAGGCTCAATTGATTTGGTTTTCCAACTTGATCAATTTTTGGCTGTGTACTTCAATAGCTTGCAAAGTATTTTATACTTAAATCATGTAGGATGATCATAATTACATATGCAGTTCCTGTGTATAAAGAAAAACAGATGTCTTTTTTTTAAATGGTACCTTCAAGATCAGTGAGTGGCATATTTAGGAACAGACTTTCCATGACCTTCCAGATTTTCAGAGCTTCCTATTAATTTCTCTAGTCAGTACTGCCATTATATATATGGCATCATAAAATACCAGGATCTGCGGCTGGTATTGCAGGCTCTATTTCAGTTTTTCAGCTCTTAAGCAGAACTCAGCCCAATGTGGGCTCCAGGACACACTAGAAGGTGACTTAACGCCCAAAACTCCCAGGTGATCTGCCATCTGGCCTCTAGAGGGAGCACTAACCCCCCAAACGCCCAAGTGATCTGCCATTTGGCCTCTAGAGGGTGCACTAACCCCCCAAACTACAAAAAAGAAAATTATTCCTTTCTCCTTGTTTTGTAGACACTGGGTTAGAGTTTTATAAAAGGAACAAAATCAAAGGTAATTTTTTTTTATTTCAAAAAAGTCACAGAAATAGATTTTCAGTTTACTGCTTGCTGATTCAAAGCACTAGTAAATTTGAGCACAGTAGTTAAGAGAAAGTGTGGTAAAGTCCTGGCATAAGACAGGACTATGCTGCCCTCTTCATGGCCATGCCAGGCACAGTCAGTCTGAGTCTTTCTCCATATGGTGCCCATAGACATTCCCCTTTGCTAGAGCTGACATCTCAGTGAAATCTATGTGCCATCATTGATTTATGATATCATAAAATGGCTCCTTTTACTGCAACCTTCAGTGTCTTAAACGCTAGTAAGAATGCCTAAACCTGTAGCCAATAAATAATTAAGCTGTTATTGTCTCTAAGTCCAGAGTTCTCAGCATCACCTCTAAGGACTGGCTTTCTAAGGACATCCTGTGGTCCAAGGGTCCCTCCTGTGACCCACCTACCATACAGGAGGTTTCTGTGGCTACAGCTTTTCCCAAATCCCAACTCAAAACCATTCTTCTTGACCCATTTTGGGGTGCCTATAACCACCAGATGTCACCAGGACAGTATGTGTTTAAAGGCTTATGTTCTTTCTGTCTACCCATTAAGCCCGAGCAGGTAGCACAGAGCTAGTCATAACAGCCTCATGTATCATGCAGAGAATTTACAGATTTTATCTTGTGGGTAAACCACAGGGAACCATGAGGGGTTTTAAGTTGGTTTGTGTGTGTGTGTGTGTGTGTGTGTGTGTGTGTGTGTGTGTGTGTGTGTGTTTGAGATGGGTTGGATGGAGAGAGGCTAGAGACTATGAAAACAGAGCAGGCCTATGGCAGTGATCAGGAAGACCTGATGAGGACTAAACTGGACAGAGACTCTGATGGTAGAACTATAGAAGACAATGAGCAATGCTTGACAGTGTCAACAAGACTTGATGTTGGATTCATCCTTGGGTAGGCAGTAGCTGTGTATTATCATTATTATCAGAGTCTGATATTATCAATGCAACATCTGGCCAGGAGCAGGTGCCTAATAAATGTTTTGGGATGAATGAGTGAAGTGGTGGCCAATAGAGCAGGAAACACATGAGAGAAGTGATGACTGGGTGGGTGACGGTCTCCTTCACCTTGATTGCTCGTGATGGAAGAGAAACTGTTTCGAAGGAGAATTGGATGCACTGAGTTTGGAGACATGGAGCTCAGTGTCTTTGAGCTGTCAAGGTGGAGATGTCCATTTGGCCACTGGAGATGTGGGCCTGGAGATTGAAGAGGAAGCTCTTTCAGGAGATGGGTTTAGGAGAATTCAGCACACATAAGTGGAAGCTGAGTTCATGGGTGTAGATGAGGTTAGAAGACAATAGAATTAATGATGGGACTCTCAGAAACAGTAGCTTACAGAATGGCCTAGAAATGGAGCCTGGCAGGGCACAAGAATTGGCCAGAAGTAAGCTAGAAGAGTCAGTATCCACAGGGTTGTCTTTGCAAGGGGAGAGATGTTTTTCTCTGACAAAATACTCTGACCAATATCAACTTGGGGAGGAAAGGGTTTATTTAGTCTAATAAATAAACAGTGCTTTACTCAGGGAGCCCAAGGTAGGTACTCAGAGCAGGAACCTGGAAGCAGAAGCTGGAGCATAGACCATGGAGGAATGCTGCTTACTGGCGTCCTCCTCTGGCCCTTGCTCAGCCTGCTTTCTTATGCAACATAGGCCCACCTGCCCAGGTGTGGCACCACCCACAGTGGGCTGGGCCCTCCCATGTCACTCAATAATCAAGAAGATGCCCCACAAACATGACCACAGGCTAGTCCAATAGAGGAAATTCCCCAGTTGAGGCTCCCTCTACCCAGATGTGTCAAGTTGATAACTAAAGCTATCCAGCACAATTGACCCTTTGCCAACTTGACACATAAACATATCACTATTAAGCTACAACCTTTCTATTTCTTATCCCCAAGATAATGTTAATATCACATCAGACAGTACAACCATAAAAGTCCCAGCTCTTAAAAAATTCAAACACTTTAAAAGTTAAAAGTCTTTCTTAATCGCCTCTTAACTATGGGCTCCTGTAAAATCCAAAACAAGTTAAGTACTGTCTTATTTTAAACGGAAGAATTGGGCACACTTAAGCAAAACCAAAGTCTAGCAAAGTAACTCCAGGCTGGGCATCTGGGATTCACTCACGATCTTCTGGGCTCCAAAGGGCTTGAGCAGCTTAACTTCTCTGGCTCTGCTGTCCACAGCACACACAGCTTGCCTTGTAGGCTCAGGCAAGCCCCACTCCACACCTGCTATAGTCCCTGGTGGGTGTCCCATGTCCCATGGTCCTGGCAGCTCCAACATACTGGGGTACCTACTGAAACTGAGACTGCACCTTCACCAATGAGCATTTCTGGCCTCTCAGGGAACAAAACCCCAGACAGATTCTTTCCATGACCCCTTCAATCCTGTGGGTCTTCACTGCAACTGAGGCTGTACTTTCACCCTGGCCTCTCAGGCTGTCAAGCAGTAGCCGCTCTCTAGGACCCCTTCATTCCTTGAAAACCAGTACCATATAGGAGACATACTGAGTCCTGCTTCCAGCTTGAGTTGAAGCCCAGGCCCCCTCTGATTCACAGCTTCTGTGTGCTGACCTTGAGGAAATACTTCCCAGAAGATTTCACCTCAGTGATGCTGATCTCTTGTTACTCACAACTGATTTTTCAGCCCCAGATGACCAGGATCAATTATGCCAGTAAAGCAAAGGTTTTACTTCAGTGGGTCTGGCCTCTTCTTAATCACAGCTGATTCTTCAGCCTCAGCTGACCAGAACCCACAGATTCTCAATTCAAAATATTACATAACAGCCCAGATTGTCTTTGCTTCTCTTGAAACTTCACAAACCAGTTCTCCATTGTCTACACCTCTTTCAGAATTATTTTCCAAGTTTCTACAGAACAGCTCACTAACCTCTAAACACTCAAGGACTTTTCCAGCCCAAAGCTCCAAAACCTTCCACAATCCTCCTCAAAACAACTGGCCAGCTCCGTGACAGCAATACCCCACTTCTGGTACCACTTTCTTTTCTAATTTGCCTTCAATTGCTGTGATAAAAACATTAATCAAAAACAACTTGAGGAGGAAATTATTTATTTTGCTTACAGCACAGTCCATCATTAGGGAATCCAGTGCAAAAACTTGGGGCAGGAACCTGGAGCACAGTCCATGGAGGAACGCTGCTTACTGCCTCAATCCCTCTGGCCTGTGCTCAGCCTGCTTTCTTATGCAATACAGGACAACTTGCCCAGGGGTAGCACTGCCCACAGTGGACTGGGCTCTCCCACATCACTCAACAATCAAGGAAATGCCTCACAGACATGACCACAGGCTGGTTCAATGGAAACAATTCCCCAAATAAGGCTCCCTCAACTCTGGTGTGTCAAGTTGAGAACTAAAGCTGTCCAGCACAGAGAGAGACTATGAATCATTCAGAATTCTGCATTTCCTCAATAGTAGGGAGTCATAATAAAATCAACATTATTTGTGTTAAAGATGAGATATGCTGTCTTTATAAAGGTGGTCTAACACATTCTGTTATGATTAAAAATGTATAAAATGTACAGTGGAAGGAAACATAAGACATTAAAAAGCAATTATCATCGAGATACGGTGACACATGTCTATAATCCCAGCACTTGGGAGGCTGAGGCAGGAAGTGTGCTGTGAGTTCAAGGCCCCCGATCTACAGAGTGAGTTCTACCTAGGACTACAAAGCAACACCCTGTCTGGAAAGAAAGTAAAAGAAAGAAAAGGAAAGCACAGGACAGAAGTGGGGCAGTGGGATCAGAAGTTCCAGGTCAGTTTCAGCTACACAGGGAGTTTGGGACCAGCCCGAGTCACACCAGACCCTATTTCAAAAAATACAAACATACAAAAACCCCATAAACCTGCAGTTTGTACAAAAGCAATCAATGTAGAAAATTTTGGTAAATGCTCACTGTTGCTGCAGAGTATTATAGAAAAAGTTTAATTCTTAAGAAGGAGTGACTACACTTTCTGTTTGACTCACGAAGGAGTGACTACACTTTCTGTTTGACTCACGAAGGGCCAGTTTCAGTGTCTAAGAAGAGCGTGTCCCATGTGTTGAGCAAGGAGGGAGGTGGGAACATTTCTGTCATTGTCCTTGGGGGTGCAGAGGAAGCACTGGATGCTCACCCAGGAAAATCCACGCTGTTCATCCGCCAGCGCAAAGGATTTGTTAAAATTGCCTTGACTCATGGGTAAGTGGCTTTTTTCTGTTTTGTTTTTTATTTTTGTTTATTTGGAGACAGGGTCTCAATATGTAGCCTAGGCTGACCTGGAACTCACTACGTACCCCAGGATGGCCTGAAACTTGTGATCCTCCTGCCTGAGCCTGTCAAGTGCTGGGATTACAGGCATCAGCCACTATTCTTAGCCTAGTTAAGTAACTATTTGTTTAAGGGAAGTAGGTAAAAAAGAATAAGACATTAAACAATCATAGAGAAGAAAAGTCATCTTTTTGGTCCTTAAGGATACTCACCAAGTCAATGTTAGAACAAAAACAGATGCACATGTACTTGGGACTAGACTATGAGCTTTCAATTAAGGTAGCTCAATGTCATTGCACGTAGCAATTTAAAAACAATAGCATTAGAAACTAAAATCTTGCGTACTCAGTGTAAATTTACAGTCAAGTGAATGGAGCTCAATGAAAAAGACAGCTGACCCCAAACCTTGATTTTCTGTAGAATAAAATTCCATGACTGGCATGCTGAAGCTTCCCTAAAGACTCAAGTACAACTGGAAGCATTTCAAACTTTATTCAACCTCAGTGTTTCATATACAGAGTTGGTAATAAGCATAGGAAGGGCTGGATGCTGTATTAGTTACTTTTTCCATTGCTGTGACAAATACCTGACTTCATCAAGTTGAGGAAGGAAGGGTCTGTTTGGGTTCATGGTTTCAGGGGATATAATCCATCATGGTGGGGAGCATGAGGCCATTGGTTACCTTGCAGCATAGCCTATGGGCAGAGAGATGAATGCTGGTACTCAGGTCACTTTCTCCTTTCCTCCGTTTTATTTGTTCCAGGACCCCAATCCGTGGGATGTTACCACCCAAGAAACACCCTCTCAGACATACTCAGAGATGTGTCTCCTAGGTGATTCCAAATCCAGTGAAAAAGCTGGACAAAACAAATTATCTAAATCCTGACATTTAAAATTTGTATCCTTGGGGCTGGACTGATGGCTCAGTAATCAAGAACAGTTGTTGCTCAGTCATGAGGATGAGAGTTTGGATACCAACACCCACATAACAGGCCAGGTGTCCTATGTCCTATGGATGCATGTAACTCCAGCTCTGAGGGAGGGATCTGACACCTTCCTCTGGCCTCTATGTGTATACATGTGTGGGCAGCTGCACACACATAAGCACATACACTCACACAGACACGTACAAATACATAAGTAAAACCTTTAAGTATTTAAAATTTGTTTCCTTCCTCACTGTTATTTGCAGGGCCAGTTTGGTCCCAGTATTTTCTTTTGGTGAAAATGAACTTTTCAAACAAATTAACAACCCTGAAGGCTCGTGGCTTCGAACTGTACAAGAGAGACTGCAGAAGATAATGGGGTTCACCTTGCCACTGTTCCATGCCAGAGGAATTTTCCAGTATAATTTTGGCCTAATGCCCTATCGGAAACCGATCCATACTGTTGGTACGTATATGAAATAAAATTATCTTGCTTCAAGCAATCGTTATGGGCTGGGTGCTAATAATGCAAAAGAAGTGGCCTTGAATTCGAATGTCTTAATATCGTATATGTTACCTGGACTTTAATTAAGACCCTTTTACATTTGAGTGGAAACAGATGACTTTCTAGAACTTCACTGTTGAACCACAGGTAGACACAGAGTTTAGACATGAAGTTTCTAGGACTCCTTAATGAACCCGCTTCTCAGCACCAGCTTGCTCTAGCACAACAGCTCAGTGACGAATGAGTCATCTCAGTCTGTTAAATATTTAAAAGTCTCTGTACACATCACAGTCCTTTCACCCAGGCATCGGTGTCTTACCAAAAGCAGGTTTTAGGCCACTGACTATATTCGTATGTATTTGAATAGAGAATGATTTCAAAGTTGTATGTTTGGGTGAATTGAAATGGGGAGAGGAGGGTGAAAATCGAAAGGAGAGGAAAGCAGAGCCCCATCTGGTGACGTGTCCATAGTTCCAGCTGCTTGGATTACCCGAGCACAAAGTCAGCCTGAGCAACGGAGCAACAGACACAGCCTCTGTCTCAAAAAGTAAACAAACATAAATAAGAGGCAGGAGCGAGAGGTTTTGGAAGAGGCTGGAAAGTTGAAAATGAGAAAGTGCTGAACGTAGCAGAATTAACCAAAACTTGGTACTTTATATGAAATGAAAGTAGTATTTTTACCTTGTTATCTTCCCAAATGAAATCTGAGCACAGTGACTTTTTTAAAAAGATGTTTCACTAGAATAGGATGTGCTTTGTGTCCACCCCCCGCCCCCCAGCCTTTCTCTTTATGACAAGGTCTCATGTAGCACAGGATGGAACTTGCTATATAGCCAGGGATGCCTCACTAGACTCCCTCCTGCTGGGGTTCCAGGCAGGCCTGGTTTTAGAATAGAGTTTTCTGCTGTCAGTTTATATGAGCTTTGCATTTCAGATGCAGTCACGTGATAGCTATTTTTAACTGCCGTATTTAACTCAGATGGAATGTGGCAGCCTGTTGGTTGGTTAGTTACAGTACTACAAACACAGTTATGTTTAAGTTTGCAATTGTAATTGTACTTCATGGCCAGCAGGCTACATTCATCTGGCATGATATTAATCATTTTTGGTCTCTTATGTACAAAGTACTATTGTTGGTTGGGGAGTAGAAAACAAAGAAATTACAAGTCATGATTTGGGGAATACATTTAATTAGATGTAACTCATGATCATATGAAATAAGGTGTAAATACTGAAAATAAAGGGCATTCTGTGACTTAAATGATGTTAGTTATTACCATCTTGGGGCTAACTTTTTTTTTTTTTTTTAATAAGTAGAGTGACCTGCTATCTGATCTAGTTAAATTATGCCTCTCCTGACAAATCCAAAATCAGTGGTGTTGCTGAATCTGAGCTAGTTGTCAGGGCATGAAAAGTTCATGCCATATTGTGCTTCTTTAAAACACTCAGAATAGGGGCTGGAGAGATGGCTCAGCAGTTAAGAACACTATCTGTTCTTGCAGAAGACCCGGGTTCGAATCCCAGCACACACATGGCAGCTAACAACTATCTGTAATTCCAGTTCCAGGGGATCCAACAGTCTCTTCTGTCCTCTGTGGGCATTGCAAAACAGGTGCACTTACCTACAGGCAGGCAATACACGCATACACACAAAATTAAAAAAAAAAAAACCTCAGAATCGGGAAATTCCTTTGGTTCATCCCTCTACTTACTCCTCCCAAACAATTATGATTACTAGTCCATAGCATCTCCTGTGTTCCATTTTTTTTCCTGTGTTCCACTATTATTTGAAGCCTTTATATGAAGTTTAGAGTATAAATATTTCATAAAGACCAGCTGTCAGTGATCTTAGGGCAGTAGTACAGGAATCGATGATTCAAGCAGCCCAGCTTGTGGGAACCACACTTGCCTTGTATGAGCATGGCATGTTCAATCCTCGTATGGCAAAAAGGAAGGAAGGGAGGAAGGAGGGAAGGAAGGAAGGAAGGAAGGAAAAGGGAGGAAGGAAGGAATGAAGGAAGGAAGGGAGGAAGGAAGGAAGGAAGAGAGGGAGGAAGGAAGGAAAAGAGAGGAAGGAAGGAAGCAAAAGGGAGGAAGGAAGGGAGGAAGGAAGGAAGGGAGGGAGGATGGAAGGAAGGGAGAGGGAGGAAGGAAGGAAGGAAAAGGGAGGAAGGAAGGAAGGAAGGAAGGAAGGGAGGGAGGAAGGAAGGGAGGGAGGGAGGGAGGAAGGAAGGAAGGAAGGAAAGAAGGAAGGAAGGGAGGAAGGAAGGGAGGGAGGGAGAAAGGGATTAGTTCTTGCCATCAGTAGGCATGCCATGATGGCTTGTGGCTAAAATGGACCCCAGCTCTACATAGATTAATGTTGACATTAAGAGCCATTATTATGAGCCAGGATGGTGACACAGGCCTTTAAATAAACCCAGCACTCAGGAGGCAGAGACATGCAGAACTCTGTGAGATCAAGGCCAGCCTGGTCTATATGGTGAGTTCTAGGCCACATGGGGCTACAAAGAGACACTGTCTCAAAAAATAAAAAAATTTTAAAAAGAATCATTATTATGCATCAGGCAGATGTGCTGAAGGAAGTGGTGGGGTTCAAGGTCTGACTCTAGGTGACAGTGAAGGTTCCATTTTCCTCCCTCAACCTCAGAGTTTCCAACTCTTAAGAGAAGAGGTGAGTGGAACTGGCCTGTCCTCTTTCAGAGTTCTCCAGGGATTGTATTTCATGATGCATGGGATAGTGACTCCAGGGCTGGGCAGGTGCAGGCTAGAACTCAGAACAGAAGTCTTCCTGTATAGCTCACTGAGAGTTTCAAATGCATTGAGCTTTCTCTGTATAAGGATTCCTGCCAAAATATTCATTTGAATCAAATCATGAGGAAATAGACAAATGGCTCATTAAAAATCTGTTTCTAGAACAGAGAGGAGGAGGTACTTGGAGACACAAAGCAGCTGTCATGTATTGGAGAAAAACAAATGCAAGCAAGGTTATTGAGGCCATTGTTGGAGTGTGAATGTGGACTAAGTGCAAAATAGTGGGTGGAGGTTAATTTCGTAGGCGTGATCATGGTGATGAGTAGGCATTGTTTTTACTCTTAGATAATGAAATAGCTAGGGATGATTCACAGGACTGAATTAGTGCTGTCCACACCTTACTTTCAGATGCTTTTACAGAGATAAAATTAGGCTAGGCACGGTGACACACGTCTGTGATTCTTGCACTTGGGAGCCAGAGACAGAAAGATTGGTGCAAGTTTAAGGCTAACCTGGGCTACATAGCAAGATTCTGTCTCAAAAACAAACAAAATTCTTAATAAAGGAGTGGGGAAGTAGCCCAGTCAGTAGCATACACAAAGCTTACATTCGAGTCCAGCATAAAACAGATTACCATGGCTCACACCTGCAATTCCAGTGCTTGGGAGGTGGAAGCAAGAGAATCCAGTGTTCAAGGTCATCCTCAGCTACATACTGAGTTCAAGGACAACCTGGGCTACATGAGACCTTATCTCAAAAACAAAAACAAAACACCCCCCCACCAATTCCTATGTATATTGATATACATGCATGTGCTTACACGAAGAAGATACTAGACCTTGTCGAATGCCAGTCAGGGGTATGCAAGTACTTATGATACTGTTCTTTGTTCAGTTTGAGATTTTAAATAGAAAGAACAGGGAAGGAAATGTACTTCATTAATAAAATTGATTTGAAACCACATAAGGGCAAAACTAGTCCAATATGTCGTAAATCATTATCATATACTGGTGGGGGAAACGTGGCTAAGGGATTTCTGAATTGGAAAGGAAAGGGATGTAATTTAAGTTTAATTTATAACACAGGAGGGATGAAAGGTAATGACAGTGTCATGGAGACTGAGGGAGATGAGGCAAAATTCTGCCTCTACCTTTAAAAAATATTTTATTTATTATTTTTATTTTATGTGTATGAGTGTATCGCCCGCATGTATTTAAGTGCACCTGTGTTGTGCAGAGCCTGTAGAGGTCAGAAGAGGGCATCGGATTCCCCTGGGACTGGAGTTACAGACGATTGTTAGCCGCCTTGTGGGTGAATCGAACCTGAGTCTGCCTCTGCGTTTTTAGTGTCTCTAACAGGGCCTAAGTATTCCACTGGCATGAGTCAGATCACCAAGGGAAAGGCATTCAAATCTCCCATGTCCATGGGAGCCCCATGGAAAATGAAGACCCACAGAAGCCAGTAGGGGACACATTGATATGCTGTGTTGACCAAAGCTAGAGAGTTGTGGGAAATACATGCAGACACTAAAGGAGGGAAAGTTATTTTAACAAGGTCTGCAGAGGTTTCTTTTGGCTAGCCTCCCATGTCTGATGATAAGAATATTTCTTTCTTCCTGGTATAAGGAGGGTATCATTTACATGGATGTTTTATTTCCTACTCTCAGTCAGAAAAGGGGAGTTCAGAACACTGAAAAGCACCATCTGCAATGTTTTAAAGTGCCTTTAGCTCAAAATAACCCTGTGCCAAGTAGCATAGCAGGTGGCATATCTGGGGCACTTAGTGAAACATGCTAACTGCTCAGTGAACATTCAGGAGTATGTACCTCCATATATGCAATCACAGTATACATATGCTTGTGTGTAGTTCCATGAGGTCATCATTTTTGACCTTCCACTAGAGACTGGATCTGAACTCAGGGTTCCTTTGCACCCAACTTTCTGTTCTTTACAATTCTCCTTGGCCCTCTGAGAACGTCCTGTTCTTTCTCCAGTACTATGCCTTAAGGAAGCGAAGTTCTTGCATGAGCCTGAGCACGATGCCTGGTGTAGTGTCACACACTTGTAATCCCAGCACTTGAAAGGCTGAGGCAGGAGGATTACCATGAGTTTGAGGATAGCCTAGGCTATATAGTGAGTTCAAGGCCACCTTTTTTCCTTTTTATCTTAAAAAGGGGGGAAATCTGAGGGTTATAATCTCTATGGAATCTTTTGAACTACAGAAAAATAGAACAAAAAATGTTTTTATTTTGAAAGATCTACTCTTTACCTCCATGAGAAAAAGCATCCGCCTCCTACGGTGTGTACTGGCCACAAAATCATTGTCTATCCCAGGCAAATGTAGCTCGTGGAGGGGGAGCAGGCCTGCTGTGGGAGGCCACAGATGCATAGTCAACCTTGAATTGTTGCATGAGATTGAGAAAATGCAGCAGAGGAGAACCCAGCAGCTCCAGATCAGTGAAAGCCCCCAACCCTGCCTCAAATAGCCCTTGGCTGGAATCCCCAGGACAGGGAAGTTATACTTCTAAGAACAGCCTGATGCAGCTGTTTTTGCCCTTATGTCGTAAAAAGAGATTTTGCAGCCATTTGCACCCAACTCAGTGCCTACTGAAAGCACTTTTTTCCTTCTCTTTAAGTAGTATAAATTTTTTCTCTTTGTGCAGACAGTCCTGGTCTTTAAGGGCTCCAGGGTCCCTTTTCAGAAAATCCCAATTTGTGATGATTCAGTTCAGATCAGTTCCAGGTGGATCTTGTCATTTGACCCCTCACCAAACTGTATTTAATAAGAGCTAAAATGTAATGAAAACTTGGAACACACCAAGTAGGTTTTTTTTTTTTTTTTTTTTTTTTTTTTTCATGCCATTTTCTAGAAACAGGGCCTCACTGTGGTCTAAGCTCACCTGGAATTTGTCATCCTTTGCTTCTCAAGTCTGGGATTACAGGTATGAGCTGCCACACCTGGTTCATACTAGATATTTTTCTCTTTTCTTTTTCCTAACTCTCTCCCTCTCCCTCTTTCTGGCAGTTCTAGTAGAGTTCACACCAGGGTTTTTGTTTTTTGGTTTGTTTTGGTCTTTTTGAGACAGGGTTTCCCTGTAGCCCCAGCTGACCTGGAACTTGCTATGTAGACCAGGATGGCCTCAAACTCAGAGATCCACCTGCCTCTGCCTCCAAGTGCTTAGGTTAAAAGCATGTGCCACCACACCCGGCCCTTCATTCCAGGTTCTTGACATGAGCTCAGACCCCAAGAAATCGAGTGCTGGCTGGGTGGCCGTAGGGCAGGTGTGAAGCAAGGTAGGACCCTGGGGTCACTGCCTGATGGGCGGTGCTTGCCAGCTGCCACCATTCTGCAGAAGGCCAGGTGCCCTTTCTGAGGCCAGGTGGCAGGAGGGCCATGGATGCCTCCATGTGTCCATCTCACTCCCTGTGGCAGAGCCCATCCCTGAAGTTTTCACATCTTTGACACTGCAGTTAAGAATCCTGATGTTTTTTCTTTGGACCAGCTAACTAACCTTATCTGTAAAGCAGGAAGAGTCATGGTTACCCTCCTTGATTCCCAGGATTTGATTTAATGACATCTGGTAGACTCCATAAACAACAGGCTCAATTAAGATTTTTAAATTAATTTTATTCACTTGTATATTGTGTACGTGTGTGTGTGTGTGTGTGTGTGTGTGAGTATTTTGCCTGCGTGTGTGTAAGTCTCAATTAAGATTTTTAAATTAATTTTATTCACTTGTATATTGTGTGCGTGTGTGTGTGTGTGTGTGTGTGTGTGTGTGTGAGTATTTTGCCTGCGTGTGTGTAAGTGCACCACATTCATGCAATGCTGCTGGAGGCCAGAAGGCGGCATCTGATCCCTCGGACCTGGAGTTACATACAGATGGTTGTTAGCTGCTTTGTGGTGCTGGAAACTGAACTCTGGGCCTGTGGAAGGACAGCAAATGCCCTTAACCACTGAGCCTTTTCTCCAGCCAGCTCAGTTCAATTTTAAAGAAATGAGAGTGAAACTGAACTCACACCAGGAGCTTGTTCATGCTGCTTCTGGTTGGGGGATTTTTCTGCCTCATACCTGCCAGAAGAGCTTCCCTGAGTTTATTAGTCAAAGCATGATCATGCTGGACAAGTTTTTGTTTTGCTACCTCTGGCTTTATCCCTAAAAAGCAATAGAGAAAGATTTCTCACTCTCTAATTCAGTTTGGGGGTAGTTTAGGAATAATGGGAAGAAATGCTAGACTTAAATACTCGCTGCTGGGTATTTTTGTGTGTGTGTCATTTAGGCACTTTGAGCATCTCAGTTCTCCTGTAAGTTAACAGGAGAAAGGCAAATTGTGTCCATCTCACAAGAGAAAAGTCTTATGATAAATAAGGGCTGTCTTACAGCTCTTTGAGAGAGAACTCCTGAAATATGATAAAACTGTTAGTAACAGAGGATAGGACTGAACCGGACCATGTGTAGCTTCTAGAAAGGAGATGACCTAATTCACAGTGCACAAGCCTTACACAGCTGGGAACAACATGCTCACGGTTACCTTCTTAGGCCTTCGTGTGGCTCCACTGATTGCCATTCCCACCCTGAATGGGCCTCTTTCACCGAGATAGTTTCCCTAGAAAACTAGACCTATTTCTAGGAAACTACAAATTTACTAGCAAATTTGCATATAGATTTGTTAGGTTTTTCTCCTCAAAGTTCAGAACTGTGGAGAAGCTTTGAGAGCTTTATCCCATCCAGAGAGAAAGCTAAGACTAGGCCTGTGCTATTCACTATGTAGCTGAGGCTGGCCCGCGACTCCTGAGGCTCCTGCCTCCACCTCCTGGGCTCTGGGATTGTATGCGACTACCACAGCATCTGACTGTTTCCATGTCTTTATGTCAGCATAAAAGTTCTGATGTCTACCGTGTACAGATTTGACATGCAAGCTATCAGAGAAAACTGTTCATGAGCATTTGGAGGCTCTATCTTGTGAATCATTAGCCTTTTGGAGTGTGGGTGCGATCACTCCCTTCTCCGAGCATCTTCAGCCTTCGGGTCAGTGGCAGCATCTAGCCAGCAGGGGGCGCAGTGCATGTGCGTGCCAAAAACGGATTTCTGTAGTCTCTAAAAACCCGAGATTATTTATTATACGAACGTCCTTTAAGCTATGTACAGAAGATGCCAGATTTACTTTTAATTAATCTGTGTGTTTATAATTAAACAGGTGAAACAAATGCTTTCTCATTTATAGAAAATTCATATGACACAGGTAAAGCGAGCTTACCCCCATTCTTACTTTCTTTTCCTAGAGGGAAATGTTAGTCTTTCCAGATTGTTCCGGTACCTGAAAAACACTGGTGCACCTAGAAATATAATTTTTTTCATAAAGCGGGTCACACTTTGTTTTACAACTTTTCTTTGATGTGTGTATAACACATTGTGTGTGTTACATATTTGTGTGTGTGTTTTTAAACTGGCTGCCTAGGGTTCCATTGACTAATGCTCCATGGTTTATTTAATAATTTTCCTGTTGAGTTTTCGTTGCTTTCGGCTAACCACTATTACATATAGCGGGATCTTTGTGATTATATGTGTGTCTCTGGTACAGATACTTCACAGTCAAGACAAGCAGTAGTTTTAATTGTTCAGAAAGATATCAAAAAGTGTCAGGAGAGGGATGCCACGTGACCTGAGGTTTTCACAGCCATAATAGGAACACTGTCGCCCCGCTGTCAGCTGTGCCCCAGGGAGGAGGCGGTGACGTGGCCCAGGGACGCCCACTTAGCTCCCAGCTGCAGGCAGCACAGTGGCGTGTTTGACTTGAGTCAGATCCACCAGGGGACTGACAGCCCAGCGTCTGCTGAGAAGGAAACACTGTTATTTGTTGTCAAGTGGGATGGTGTGACTGAGGTAGGCAGCCAGTGAGATGAGGAGGGACTGGAGCCAGCAGGCTGGGGGGATTCTGATTGGCAGCTCTGTGAGCTGCAGGCCCAGGTTGTGATGGAGTGTTCTCTTCCTCTCTGATGAGACCTGCCCTGTTTTTCACAGTTGGCCGCCCCATCCCTGTCAGTCAGACTCTACATCCGACCCCAGGGCAGATCGAGGAGCTGCATCAGACCTACATGGAGGAGCTGAGGAAACTGTTTGAGGAGCACAGAGGGAAGTATGGGGTTCCAGAGAATGAAAGTCTCATTTTTAAGTGATTGTCACGGAAGACAAAAGAACATCATCTTGAGAGAATAAATATTTTAAATGTTTACTGTGTTTTTCTTTGGACTACAGAATCCAATTTGCAACTGAAAAGTATTGTTGATGGAGATGGATGTTGCTGTCTTACACTGTCTTACACTGTGGTAAATGAAAATTGGGAGCATGAAGGACTGGGAGGGTAGCTCAGTGGTGGAGTGCTTGCCTAGCTTGGGTAAGACCCCAAGTTCAGTCCTCAGCACTGGAAAAGAAATACAGTAGATGACTATAGGCTAAGATTGGAAATGACTAAGACTTATCTTCTGAATCCATGGAGACAAAATCACTTTTCAGGTTCTTAAAAGGTTTAGAATTACTCATGTGCTCAGAGCAAAAGTAAAATGCCAACTTCACAGAGTCATTAGACTCTTACTGAACACCACTGTAGCTGTTCAACACAGCTGAACATTTAGGCGAGGTATAGTTTACCATATAGAAAGCTAAAGGAAACAGTGTTGTGCTTGAACAGAGCATTTGTTACTGAATGATGTCAGTTTTAATACTAAGATAATTTGATCCTTTAGGCCATATCAATTTTTTTATATCAGTGCAGCATTTTTATGCCATTTTAGAAACAAGATGAGTCTGACACATGGAATCCCATATGAACAGATCCTTGTCTCATTTCTGTTCACGCTCAGAAACAGGTTTATCTGCAATGGACAAGCAAGTCTACATGGGACATGGGATTCGCCTGTGCTTTAGAATGCGGTGAAGTACTAGAGATTCCAAAAGGTTTCTCTGGCAATAGAAATGCGCTTTATTTTCTTCCCTAAGTAGCCTTTTTGCTTAATACAAACTGAAAGAACGTTTCTTATCTGGTGAGGAATGTCCAGTTCACGGTTAACTGAAGTTGAGTCTCTTCTGCTTTCCAGTGTCCCTGGTGTCTGGGACAGCTTAGGGCACTCAGTGGGCACAAACAAGTACTTGTTTAATGAGTGTGACAAGCAAACTTTGCTGTGACATGAAGACTTTCTGAAGCTATTCCATAGAACAGAACCAGTTCAAGCCAAGACCTGCTTAAAACAGGAGAAAAGTTGCTGTATCTAATTCTCCACACCAATAATCAACAGTCCTATATGTTGTTATGAGCAAGTCAGAAGGTTTCTGATTTTCAGTCACTAATCATTAGGTAAGAAGAATGTCCCTCAGAACAGTGCCTTCATTGCTAGGTATTTGCTTCTGTGCGGTCTGCACGCTGGTATTTGTGAGCAATTTCACCAACCCATGGGGTCATATATCTTAAAGTTTCCAAGTTTTAAAACATTAAGTTCTGGACTGGGGCCTGGAATGTTCAGCGATAATAAAGCATAATGCTAGGGCTGGGGAGATAGCTCAGCCAGTAATATGCTTGTTGTCTAAGCATAAAGACTTAAGCTCCAATCCCTAAAATCCAGGTGTGGTGGCCCATGCCTGCAATCCCAGTGCCAGGGAGATGGAGACAGGTGGGTCCCCAGAGCTCACTGGCTACCAAGCAAGTGATAGAACTTATCTCAGAAGACAAGGAGGGCATCACCTGTGGAATGACAGTTGAGGCTGTCCTCTGGCCTCCATTCACATATATACTCATCTGTATATATATTGATGCACACATGCACACATGCACACAAAACATCTTCCTGGACAATACCAAAAAGCATTTCACACATGAGAAAATAAACCTCAGTTGCTCTACCTGAGCAACTCAAGAATTTATTGACCCAAAGCTTTGGACTCAACTTTTTTCCCCTCAAAGCAGGGCCTTTCAATTATTTCAGACCCATGAATTCATCTCTTTGAAGTTTATTGAATACTCAGCACTCATGATCTTTTTTTACTTCACAGTTAGGAGGCCAGGCTGACTGTCCCATCAGCAGCTAGATTATCTAGCAGCAGTTAAAGTCCAGGCTTGATAAAGCAGAGGCATTGTAAGATAAGTTCTCACTTGTGAACTTATATAGATTTTGTCCTTTAAAATCTAGATATAAGCAACTTTAATTTGTGAAAAATGTTGTTGTTGTTGTTGTTGTTTTAGTATCTACAGAAGAGGATGGGGTAGGGTTACCTTTTCAGACTTCAAGAGGTCTTAATCCAGCCTGCCAGAAAACTCTTCAGATACTCAAAACCTGGCTGCAAGTTCCACATAGTCCTACAAATTGCCAATGAAGATCTGTAAAGAATTTTGCCATCATGCAAATTCATTGTATTGTAATTACTGTCATGGTTTGACAGAGATCTCTGCTCTTGTAAAGTTTCCTATCTACTGTGCAATCAAGCATAAATTTTAAGCAGCAAAGCAAAATGAACACATCAAGGTAAATAACCCTAGGACTATGAGAGACGTGGGGCCTATTGCCTTGGGAACATGTGTGTGTATGCTGCTTGATTTGTGCATTTCTTTTCCCCCAGAATTTCCTTGCATGCCTGGCACAGGTCAAGTCCTTTCCTTTGTTTTTCAGTTAGAAATTTGTGAGGCTGTCAGTGGCCAAATCCTGTTAACACGCCATTGAAGGCTGCACTTCAAGGCTTGTGAAGACCTGGGAGCTTTGCTCTTTATAAAGGGGAGCCATAGCAAGGGGTGCAGGATGTGTCAGCACAAACCCTCTACTACTGCTTCAAACATTTCAAAGGGTGTTTACATCAGGGATGTTGGGTGAGCCCTGGTTATAAGCATTGGGTTCAAAGTGAAATCCCTACTTTCAGCAGAAGATACGTTTCTGCCCCAGGTTGCAATGTGTACACTTCTGTAGTTTACCTTCTCATCCGAACTGCTTCACTGCTGACTACCGCAGATGGTGATGAATATGAGGATGATTTGGGGTGCAATAGCTTTGTATTCTTTTCCTCTGATTGGAGACATTATTGGACTGGACTTGGTGGCAGATGACTGTAATCCCACTACTCAGGAGGCTGATGCAGGAGAATAACTGAGTTCAAGGAACTCATATAATGAGTTTCAGAGACTAGCCGGGCCTACAGAGTAAGACCTTAATAAAGACAGAGACAGACTGTTGGTGGGATTTGTTACTTTTATTCCCCCCAGTAGCCAAAGGTGACTAGTTCTTGTGTGTGTGTGTGTGTGTGTGTGTGTGTGTGTGTGTGTTTACATCAGATGATATCTTCCTCTCCACTTTTTTTTTTTTTTTTGGGAGATAGAGTCTCTCACTGAACCTGGAGCTTTCCCATTTGACTAGACTAACTAACTGGCCACTAAGTCTTCACGCTACAAAATACAATTGTCAAAAGATAATATATGAAACCAGGTATTATGGCTCATACCCATAATCCCAGCACAAGAGGATTGCTGTAAATTCAAGGCCAACCTGGGCCACATACTGCAAATCCCAAGCCAGTCAGAGATACATAGTGAGACCCTGCCTCAAAAAATGTAGGGGAAGCCAGGTGTGGGACACATGCCTTTAGTGCCAGCACTGGGAAGGCAGAGGCAGGCAGATCTGTGAGTTCCAGGCCAGCCTGGTCTATATAGTGAGTTCCAGGCCAGCTGGGCTACAGGGAGACCTTGTCTCAAAAAGACTAAAAACAAACAAACAAAGAAACATGAACCTTCAAAGCATGCCAGCATACAAAGAAAAAGCACCTCATGTTTAAAACAGGGTATGTCTTTAGTGACACTTACTTTTTTTTTTGATAGCCACCTGCCTCTGCCTGCCAAGTGCTGAGATTAAAGGCATGTGCCATCAGGCCCAGCAGGGATCCCACAACTTGGAAGTAAGCTCTGCCTCTACTGATATTAAGAATTTTTTTTCTTTTTTTTTTTAGGTCAGGGCACCACACCACATTGTTGATTTTCCCTTTGGCACGAGCTATGTTGGCAGTGTGTCCAAAGTAAAAGTCCAATTTTCCTTGAATGTTGCTCCTGAGCCCCATGTATTAGAGCAATGTGCAAGGCAAGGGGAACTTATGCCCTGTATGACTAAAGGGCAAGGACTACTCACTGGGGCCACTACTGTGAGTCAAAGCAATCGAATTTCTCAGGATAAAGTAGAACGCTTATAATTTCATTGTCAGCGTGAAGTTCACAGCCCATCCTGGCTCCAGCCTGATCCAGCTGTTTGCCACTATCTCTTAGACTCTAGTTCAGAATTATCTTAGGCTCTTAATGGAGATAAACCTAATATTCCCTGAATTCCCAAGAGCTGCATAATTCTATGCCATTTCAGACTAACTTGAAGCCTTGGAGTTTTCTGGTTGGATGTCAGGTCCTGCCATGTTCAGTGATGTCAAGGTGCCCAGAAATCTTAACTCCCCATTCTTGGCCTCTCCAGATCTTAATTTCAGATGGTCCTTCAACCTCTTGTCTTGAATTACCCAGCTGGGTTACCTGGAGGCTCACTCCCTTCCTGTGTAAGTAGCTAGGAGTGGATGACCTCCAGGCCCCTCTGCTCTGGCCCACGGTCTCTGTGAGGAGCATCTGCCATGGTGGTGGCATCTGGGTAGAGAATACAGGCTTCTGTGGTAGCTTGCCATTTCTGCTATCTCCTGCTCTTCAAGGAAACACAGGAGCTGAAATGATTGACATACTGCTTGCCACTGCAATATCTCCAGGATCACAGGGGCTTTTGGTCGGGTGTTTTTTTAAAGAAATAATTGAATTCTCTAAATAAAAGCAGGAGAAATTTATCTAAGAGCCTTCCTTCTGTGCATCATTCAATATTGTGGAATGACACAATTTGTTACTTGTTCAAATTCTTTAAGAAATCATTTTTTTACTTTGACTTTTTAAAAAAATGTTTATGTGTATGAGTGTATTGCCTGCATGTATGTAAGTGCACTCGTGTCATGAAATGCCCCAGGAGGTCTGAAGAGGATGTCGGATCCCCTGGAACTGGAGTTAGGATGGTTGTTAGTCACCATGTGGGTGCTGGGAACTGAGCCCGGGTCCTCTGCAAGAGCAGCCAGTGCTCTAGACTGCCGAGCCATCTCTCTGGCCGTTAAAGTCCTTTTATAGGCGTGGTGAACTTTTGTATTTTACATATAGCATGTACTTCTATATGTTTTCAAATAGCTGTCTGT